AACCCTAAACCCTAAACCGCCCTCCCCAAGCCAAGGAGCTTTCTGCTGCGCTGTGCGTTTTAGCTGCTGACTGTAAGCTGATGGTCTCGCACCCCAATGGACGAGATCTGGACCTCTTCGGTTCAATCTGGTTTAGGAGGGTTTCAGGGTTTAGGGGGTTTAGNNATTCTCCTTAGTACTCCCTTAGGTTCCCTAAAGCTCCCTAGGACCCTCCCCCCTTGAGCCACCCTCCCTTAAGGATCCCATAATGTTCAGGGTTTAGGGTTGGGGTTCTCACCCCAATGCACGAGATCGTTCAATTTTGACTGTATAGGAGCTGGATATGTACTCATACTGTTCCTTGTTGTTCCTCTTACAAACTAATATGATAACTGTAATGTGCTTCCAAAACCTTTAAATCATTCAGCCACCGACATTCGGGTCATGTAGGGCCTTGAAGGGTTTACCAGAGTTTTATGAACCCTAGACGCTATAGCTTCCATAATCTGGGTTTATGTGTAGGTGTTTACAGCTTATCAGAGCTTCTACAGCGCTTTGATGTGAAGTTTGCAGGCTGTTAGGGATTAGATGTGGGCCCATTGTGCTTGTTATTTTTGTTGATATTTCCAGGTTCGCAAGAGATCCCCTTATTCCTTTTTGAAAAATACCTAAACCCTATAAACCCTAAACCCTAAACCCTAAAAGGGTTGCCAAATAAGTATTGGGATCTTGCGTTCTTTGTTGTTGGCAGCTGCAGGGGCTTAGGTGTCAGCCTTGTCTGGTTTTTGCATTTCCGGTGCATCCCATCGATTTGGGCTTTCGGGGTTTAGGACCCCAAACTCTATACCCCAAACCCCACAATTTTGACAGAAACCCCATTGTAATTCATTGAACGCCTCGGGGTGAAGCTCGCAACGGATCTCGAGCCAATACATCCAATCACCTTCCCAAACCACAGCCGCTAAACTCTCAGCCCTATAAACCGTGAATGAACCCTCAACCCTAAACCTTGAGCCACGATCCCTGAATCCTCAAGCCCAAGCCCTCAATAAGCCCTATACTCTAATCCGTGAATCCCCAAACACTGAACTCTGCCGCAGGACATCTATAATTCAGAGCTTGAGAAAGCACGAGCAGAGTATGAGCGCACTGGAAAGTACGGGCCACAGTCGAAGGGTCTGAAGGTCCAACGTAGGGTTTAGGGTCTATCAGGCTGTCGGAGTTTTAGGGGTTTAGTTGGGGCTTAAAGTATGTTACAGGGTGGGTATTTGGGCTTAGAGGAGTTTATTTAGGTTTCTAGGCAGGTTTATTTAGGTTGAGCAGTTTGTTTTTGGTTCAGGCTTTCAGGTCTTCGGCTGTAGGCCTCAGGATTTCAGTAGGGCTACACACGGGTTATAGTTGCAGGGTGCAAGGTGCCAGCGTTGCATCTCAGAGACCCCAGCAGCCACCGGCAGTGTGGTGCCTTCTAGCCGGTCATGCGTCCAGGAGTCTTGTGCCCTACATGCCCGGTAATAATTGGGTTTAGGGTTTAGGGTTTAGGGTAATATATTAATAAAGTCTCGTCGCAGAGACACTAAACGGAGTACGCGGAGTACAGGGAGCGAGGAATTCCCTAGCCTGGCTCGCGGAGGAAATATCACCCGGGAATGAAATTATACCTATATTAGTCTCCATTGTAGTTCATTTTTGGTTTAACCAAATATATATATATATATGTATATATATATATATGGTATCCCCCCCCCCAAAGATCTACCCGATTCTGTCTGTTTTGAGCTCTTCGTGTGTAATCCCTGCCTGTTTGTTCTTCATGTCATCTGTATGTCTGTCTTCCCATGTGAACACCCCAACATATAGCAAACAAACACACATCCACACACGCACACAAGGTCTGTGGAACTTCGCAGTACTATGGCCT